ACCCATTATGGTAAGTTAATGTAAGCCTGTCAGCAGCAACCCACATTGTGGCTGGGGCAAGCGCTGAAGGCGCTGCACAGCAGATCAACCTCCAGATCCTTGGCTTTGCTGGAAAGTGGATGGGATGTAAGGGTTTACGGTTTAGCGTTTCCCCTGTTCCTAGAAGGGTTTAAAGGAACGTAGAAGGGTTTCTAGGGTTGATTATTTAAGAGAAGGTAATGGAAACGACTATCGTATTCAGGGCTAGACAAAACACCCCCAGCATATCCCAGCATAGTATCATTATACAATCGGGGGAATATTAATTATCAAAGGGGTGAGGGGCTTATGACCGTGGGAGGTACTGATTACAGTACGCAATGGTATTGTGTTAAGAAGGATGCTCATATTTCGTAATAGCTGCTACTCTCTGTGGTGTACGCCGCTGGAGGTTCTTGCCTTCGCCTGGGAACCTGTGACGCAGCAGAGATTCAGGGACCTTCCGAAAAGATGGCAACATCATCTTCAATTGACCACGAGTTTAGTCATTCTGCGCGTACTCTTCTGATGCCTGAGATGGACACGTCCTGCTCGGCTGGATCATGACTATCGCATATGCTGATGCTGATGATGATGCTGCTGCTGCTCCACGCCACCCCCCCGCATCACTGCCACCATCAAGACGAGGAGGGCAACGAGGAGATGTACCACTGCCACAGCTACTAGCGTACTACGTAGCAACAACTTCCGCACCAAAAGAAGCACAGCAAGCCAAGCAGCAGTGAGCGGAAATCCCAACATGTGCATCACTCGAAGCAGCGCACTTCGGCCTTGGTCTGGGCATGGACCATTGTCTTTTTTCCCTTTTTTGAGGATTACGCAGGACATGTGCAGAAGCTCTTATAACTGTAGATCAGGTCCTGTCTACGGTCTAGCCACACAGTTTGGCCAGTCGATGGTCTTATAGGGGGTGGCATGTGTGCATGGAAGGCTGTAGCAGCTCTTCGCCTGGGACGCCCGCGAACTCTGCCAGCAACCCCTCCGCTACTCCTGCAGTACAAGGCCATGGGAGAGGAATGGAGGCTCTGAAGAGTCTGGTCTGGATAAATGACACACATGCAGAATCAATTCTGCATTGTCACTTCATGAGCCCTGGGATCAATTACAGAAGACCTGATTATGCAAATGGGTGCTGGGGCATTTCGGGCCCGC